GCTCTTCCCTGGCAGTCAGATTTACCGTAAATCAATCAAGGGCACCCGGTTTTTTCTGCCTGATTTAAATCTCCAGAAAGCTACTGAAGTAAGTACTCCGCTGTGCACGTTTTTGCCGTGCTGGAAAGGGTGACGGTCGCGCTCCCGAATGGTGCCAGTCGTGTTGATTTGACTGGTGTGGGTAAGTTTTAAGACTGACAACCCATGTTTCAAGGCGCGCTGCACCATCTCGCTGTGACACTGGACCTTCAGTGGCTTTTCTACCAACCTCTTCTTTCTGTAATACTGCATGAAGTGTGTAATGTAACTGGCCGAAGGATGAGTTATGTGAATGTTTGTGCAGTCGTTTTTAAGCGTTCATAATAGTTGGATCTTCCTGTTGTTTAAAGGGATGCTGCTAGGTCAAGACGGGCCCAAATTTTAGATTTTGTTGTAATGTTGAAAAAACAAAAACAAACCCAACTTAAGAGGAGCATAACATAAAAAAGGACCTACTCAACAGCAATGTGTCTCTGTATTTTTCTTGCAGTGTCTTGAAAACAAAATTCCCCTTAACGTCACTAGTCCGTTTCTTGTTAAGCACGCTGAAGGAACTGGAGAGAGGAAACGATCGACAATACAAGTGCAGATTATCAAAACCAGTTTGAATCGTTTAAGGTGATAAGCACATGATAATTTAAAAAACTAATCGGGAAGGAAATCCTTGGACTTACGGTATCCCTTTAATCAACTGAATATTTTTCCGGTTAGATTTGAAAGCGTGGGCCAGGGAAGGATATACAGCGGACAGCCGAAAGCTGTACACTTGCGCAACATTTAACTAATATATTTTAATTCAGTCGTTACAATCAAGTAATAAATACACCTGCTCAGAAACTCGAGACTTTAATATAGTTAGACTCGTTCATTGTCTGTGTCAGGAACTTTTGGAAATCTTTATAGAGATTACTTGGCGTGGCCTAGATACCGCATGAATTTCCATACAGAAATGAAAACCAAGCACAAGAGTTTGAATGATTCTGTCTTCAGTTCTCCTGGTAAGAGGGGCCGTTCAAACCGTGAAAGTCGAGTCACGTAGCGTATCATACACCTGTATATGACAATGATATACTTTATGAAAACTGGGATATTGATCTGTCTCTGTGCACAGGGAAAGGATGGAATAATGTGCATATGACTTTCTAGCCATGACCTAAGTTAGGACCTTTCTCCCCACTTCTCCAGCAGGTGCAGGTATCACCAGCCCTTCAGGAACACGCAGCACAGTGTGGTTTTGATGGTGGTGCGCCCGTCTTTATTTTCACGGCTGCTTTGACATCAGAGCCTCCTAAGTTTGAAGAAAACAGTATGGCTGAGGTTTGGGCCTTTGTTATTTCTGGGGGGGGGGGGAAGTAAGCACGAGACTCGAGGGACTTGCTCCTTCCTGGAGGGTCACTAGTGATCTGGCCCGTGGCCCCTGTGGTTTCCAAGGAGCCGTTCCCCGGAGACGGGTGTTCAGGATGCCGGTGGGTTCTACTCGAGAGGATGTGGGGTATCTTTTTGTGGAGGTCACAGTGACAGGATGTAGAACGTGCCCCTTTTTTCAGAAGTTGCATGTTATACACCTGCACTGCAGAACGGATGTGGACACAGCAGAGAGAGTCCAGGGGAGGGCAGTGAAAATGGTACAAGGGCTGGGAGACATGACTGCTGGGGAAAGACTGAGGGAAATGGGCTGATTGAGTCTGCAGAAGAGAAGACCGAGGGGGATTGAATAGCAGCCTTCACCTCCCTGCAGGGGGGCTGCAAAGAGGATGGAGCCCAGAACAGACCACGTGCCCCCGAGTGGTAGCACTTTGCAGCCCCCACCTCCATGGCAGGGGCCAGTATCGGTGCCCCTCACTCTTCAACACTGGCGCACAAGGCCGGGCGATGCAGAGTGCTTGTGCAGTACATGATACGTGCATGGAAAGTCTGTTCTGGACATGCTCACTCAACCACGCACATGTCCCCAGCAGGCCTCAATGCACGCACGCATGCGCAGTAGTTGCTGTATACCGCTGCACTCAAGTACACGTGCAAGAGGAATAATTTATGGCGCGTGTGCAGAACAACCAAGGGAGCGTGCTGACATGCGATTGACATGCGCCATGCTCAGTAAGCATGGCGATGATGGGCACGTGCGTTGCAGGCTGCATACGCCAGTACGTAGCAGCGCATGCACCGCCAGCACGTACTGGTGCATGTGGCAAAGGCCTCGCCCAAAACAAGGCACGTGCACAGGGTGGGCACGCGGAGCCAGTGAGGGGCATTGGGTGCACGGCCTGCCCAGGGCCTCGAGTGCAACAGCCCTTGGCTTGAGGTGGCTCGAGCTGCTACGTGGCCCCTGGCCCGGCCCTCACGACTTCCCTTGTCCCTGCAGCACAGGCAGGAGCCGCCCGGCGCGCACGAGGCATAGAGGTCTGAGCCCTCGGGGCCATCGGCAGCAAAGCTTCCCTCAGGACAGCGCTATGGCTGCGGGTCCCTCGGGCACTGGATTCGGCTACGCTTCCTGCTCCCTCCCTCATTGCCGCCGAGCTCGGGGGAAAAAGAGGTAAGACGTATGCACAGCTCAGTGCCTCGCTGCCCAGCCAACACGCGCCTGTCGGTGCCCAACTGTGCCCCGGCAGTGCGCGGGCTCCTCTCCCGGCGGGGGGCGGCAGGCTGATGGGTCGTCATCTTCTCGTGTCTCTACACCACACTTGACCGCTTTGCTCCGTGAGCCCGTGCTCTTTTGTTGGGCTGGGGGATGGCTTTCACTGCCCGTGGTTGGGATGCGACTGATGTTTGAAAACATATACATCCATGTCGTGTCTGCTAGCGGTGTCGGGTAAACGATTAACCAGCAGCGCGGGAGCCAGGGCGCAGCTGCTGCCATTGGGATCCCAGCCCAGATCCCATCGCTTCGGCTGCGTTGTCTGGCCGCGCTTGCCTCCCTCCCTGCTCCCAGCCAAGGGCCCTTGGACTGGGGAGGAAGGAGGGAGGGGAGCCCGGGCAGACAACACAGCCTTGCGCTAGGTGAAAGAGCAGCTAACTGCTTAATTGATGAGCCATTAGGCTGCTAGCTGTTTTAGGTGATGGGTACTACTCTCCCATCCCCTGCTCCTCCCTCCTGCCTGCCCTGCTGCCTTCTGATTCCTCCGGGGCACCGCACAGCTCCTGTTCTCTGCCAGACTGCGCCCGCCCCGAGCTAAAGGATAACCAGTTTGCTTACTGGTTACCACTGCACCTATCCATTAAATGATTAACCGTTGAACCTTTCACACCCCTAGCACATGCGCCCTCAAGCAGTGCGGGCAGTGCAGCAGGGGTTGCATGGTCCGAGGCGCTGTGCCACCGTCACAGGTGGCCAAACCCGTGGTACAGCCCCGCTGCTTCATTTATTTAGCATACGTGGTTTCGGCATATTGTTTCAGCCCTCATAAGGCGATGTCATCCTGAAGGCCACCAGGTGACCCAGTAAATAGACACAAGGGACATGGTTTGAACTTGTCCGCAAGGGCGTTAGTTGTCATTGCAAAGGCCCCAGTGGTGTAGGCTTGTGGCACAGTGACCCTGGCCAGTTCAAAAACAGCTGAGAAGTGCCCAGTAACGGCATGGCCTGCTAAATCTTCTTCCTTAGTTCCTTGGAGCATCCGACTCCGGTGCGTAGGTGGTCGAGATGTCACTACCTTTCCATGGCGCAGCCCCTGGCGGTAAAGACTCAGCTGCTGAAGTGTGCGTTTTTCCGCTGTCGGGGATTTTCTTCAGCCTCTCGTTCCACGTCCGCAGTCGTGTCTCCCTGGGCACGGCATCCCGAGCTTGGGTGCGGGTGAGGAAGCTCCTGCGTGACTTCAGACATTTGTGTGCTGCAGGGTGGTCGTGCAGCGGGGGTCTCCCATCTGCAGCGCCACGATTTTGGCAGACTGCTAGCAAGGCAGCTGAGATCTGTGCAGGGACCCGTTTATTGAGTCCAGCCTCCTGTGTCCTCCTTGCACGTGTCTCTGTGCCTTTTATTGTATGCACACCCTGTCTGGAGCAGAGAGACGTGGCCAAGCTGCCGCCTCTTGGCCCAGCAGGAAATCGCACCGCCTCTTGCCTTCTGGGGATGCACCGGCGGCTGCTCCCCTCTCCCCAGCTCTGCCCAGACGTTAAAACCCGCTCCCTGGGAGGAGCAGTGGCATTGCGATGGTATTTCTGTTCAGGCAGCGTGGAGGGAATCGAATGACTTCATGGCTCATTAAAATCCACCTGCTAATTTAACTCCACGGGTGCTAAATAAAAAAAGGTGTCGATGTTCGACTGTTCAACCTATCCTTCCTCCTGAAATGTTGCTGTCCATTAGGCGTTTCTGGTAATGTTTCTCTTCTGTTTCACGGCCCAGCAGCCAGTTTTTCAGTTTTAGCTAAAAATCTGAACTCGAGCACAGTAATATTAATTGAGGTGCAGCAATGATTGATGGAGGCACTGGGGGCACTGTCAAGGTGCTCAAGACGGCTAGAT